AAACCTCTTCAGGGTCATTTATGGTTACTATTTTCATCTATAAACAATCACGATCCCTTTAAAACTGGAAGATCATCCTTTACATAATCAGATAAATCAGAACATCTGCTCAGCTTAGTATTTGCCAGATAATATTTACATACATTGTACACTCTGTCTTAGTGAAATGGTTGGTGCTGAGCAAGATTAGGTGGATGAACTGTGTTGCTTTTGTCATGCACTGTAGGTGTCCAGAAACTGAAACTGTAGGTACTAGCTTTTTTATCTGCTTCAGGAAGTCCTAGGGGAAGGGGATTGCTACTGTATGCCAAAGAATAATAAATTAATAATGTGCAACTGCATAACTAAGAAATATCACAACTCATAGGAATAAACACATGCTTAGTAATGTACTATAACAGTGCTGGTAAAGAGGGATTTCACAAATGGGTAAATGTATACTCAAGAAATCATGTGGAACAATGTGAAACAGGAGAGATGTTTCTAAGGAACATAAGAATCTGATGCAAGACTGGAAAACACACACAAATATATATAGGAAAATGCCAAGGAATCTTAAAGGATTTGGGCTTTATAGAGTTTGCCTGTCAATCTACCAAGACATCTGATGGGAACCTGGTTTTCAGTCCAGGAATGGAGATCTTCTCAAGATTATAGGGATGGGAAAAGAGGTATTTTTATAATACTCAGGACCCTCAGGTCTTTTCCACTGAAGGACATCTAATCGGTCAAGGATTTTAGTCCCAGTATGGTAGTAATCTCAGAAACATCACAAGACTCACTGAGCCTCATTTTAAGAGGAAAGTCTCAGATAAAGAAGTTAGAGTGATGACTTGGCCCCTAATCCAGAAGAGGACCCAGGGCAGTGCTTTATGTTTTAGGTATCTTGGAAGAGGCCTCAAAATGCAAAGCATGTGTCATAGAGAACAGAATGCTGGCTTGGACACTGGTTTCTTTGCTGGACTGATGTTATTTATTAATAAACGCACAATTCTAACTGCCAGCAGAAAAAAAAAAAACATGAGGTCCTTTTTTTGTTCCTTTTTAGCACAAATTATCTTATTGAAAATGGGGATAATCATCTTTTCCAAATATGCATCTTATTTCATTTTCTGTAGATCTCTGTTGAGTAAAGAGCAACATTGTCAATGAGCAAGGTCCTGCACAAGAGTATCACATTAACAGGTACAGTATGTGAGTGTTTCATTCTTAATGAATAACAGACCACTTGCATCTTATTTATACAAAATGTAATGTGGCCTTAAATATGCATGTACTGTATATACTGTATTGTCTATAGAGTACAGCACCTTTAAAAACCAACCAATCCTTTTTATTATAGTATTTTCTTAACATATTCTGTGGTCAAAAGTTGATCAATAAGTAATGCATAGACCCTATAGAAATAAAAGGTCACTCAGTCTCTGTTAAATGTCAGAGGTTCTCTAAAAGTTACCATCCATCTTGTTGTATGGAGGCCAATGGTAGCATGAGTAAGGTCCATAGAAGATGATTCAAATGAATGCAGCTGAATTACAATTTTCACTGCACCATAGAGCTTTACTGTTTAGGATGAGCCTGCTGATATCTCCTCTCCTTCACTCTGAAAGCATGGCAGAAGGAACACAGCCTGTACCATATACTTACATACTGTAAAAAGGCAGATTTTGACAAATTTAGTGTGGCATAACTGAAATCTATATTTTAGCAATACACTACTTTGTACTCATTTGCTTTTACGTTATGGAGAAATTAATCAAATTTTGAAATATGCTTTCAGCTTATATAAAGATTGATTTATATCTGTTTTAGACAGCTGTCTATTGAATCAGATGAGCCTGGTAAAGCTGTTGATAGATTCAAATTTAAGGTGAAGGTTTAATCTCTGTTTCACCAAGCTTCGCTCCCTTGTCTAATGGGTTTCAGCCTGTGGTTCTTGATAGTTAGCCACCACACAGTGGTCAATTAAGGTGCAGTGCAGAAGCATGCTGTTGGATCTGATTGGTCTAGCTTCCACCTGCGATCATTGATGTTCAGTCAGACGTAGTCAGATCTCTGACTGCTTTGAACGTTGCCAAAATTAATCATCCTTCTGCTGCTTTTCGCTGCAGCAAAATGAGAGTGTTTCTCATTTGAATAAAAATACAGCATGCTTAATAAACCTGTTAAACTACACAAAACATTCCTTTATATTTCTGAGGTTTTAGAAATGCCAGTTGTCTTCATTCCTTCTAGTACTTTTCTAAATTGTATCAGAGTGTCTAGGTGGCTGGGGATTGTATGACGTTTTTTTCATAATTTTTACCCATGATTTATATACTTAATTATGCTCAAAAACAAGCTAAACAAATTATGTTTAGCAGTTAAAAATGGAAAGGGCAACTGCTTCATCAAGGAATATTATCATTATTAACATCTTCTTCTGAATTCATTCATGAAATTAACTAATTTATGATTCCTTAGCATTTATTCAGAATCAGTTTCTTGTCACAGCCTGTCATCTGTGCGGTTGATGGTAACAATTACATTCAGAGTTACATGCCAGCAAACCAGAATTCTTGCTTCATTTCACCAACGTTCCTTACCTCGGCTATTATGTAAATTTAGTCACTGACCCTGACTTTCCTTGGTGTAAATGGCATGTCTAAAAATTTTCCTAATGCTGGTTCGCCACTGTCATTTTCTCACTGTTGACTTAAACAAGCAAGTTACAAAGATATCTTCACTGGATAGAATTTTAATATGGAGCAGGACTGTTCCATGCCACTATATGTTTGAACAGCCATATTCCACTATCAGTTCCAGAGAGGAAAATATAGTCTCAATCCAGTGTTATGTTTTGATCTTCCGCTACATTTAACACAATCATTTTTTGGCCTGCTGAAATTCCAGCGTCTGTGAACATGATGTGACTTATCAATATTTCATTTATACTTTCACTGAACCTTCACTGCTCTCCCTGCTCCGCATTGTGCACCAAATTAAACATTACCCCCACTTTTGTTTTCTGTGCTTTGAAGAACAGACCTGGCACAGAACCTGTTTTGAAAAAAAGAAGGTGCTTCTATAAACAAGGCTAGATAACATTAACAACTACCTTTAAGTTTATTAAGAGGAATAACTAGAGAACTATTATCTACAGTGGTTAAATCTTCTCTGAATAGAAAAGTAATGAAGCTAGCATACCCATGCATAACAAAAACATGGCACTGAAAATTAAAATAATCACATATCTAGTGTTTTTCTTGCTTTCTAAAATAGCTACTTAAAACCGAATGGAATCAAGGCACTACTTTATTGGTTCTTAGGCTGCATTAATTTCTGGCCTCAAAATCTGTTTCAGATCCTACGACCAATATTTGCCTCATTCAATAGTTTGCTGTGTTCTGCTCCCTCTGTGGGTAAAACAAGGGAAAGGTAGTGTCATTCTCACTTTTGATGTATGTACCTATTATTTGTAAACTGTTAGTTGTGTTCTTTCAACATAGCACACAAGAATCAAGTGGTGATTCATTTCAGCCACAATTTAAATAGTCTTTGTCAATAGTAATGTGCTGTAACAAGTTGCATTCTTAGGCTTGTTTTTTTTTTCCTGCAGCATGACACAGTACGTAATGATGTATGCATTTAATTAAGAAATCCATTGATGCATGAATGGACAACAGGTTAAAAGGAGGGAATTTTAGGGAGACTTTATACAAAGGGAAAAATGCAGTTAGTCATAGTCCAGCTGAATATTAATAAAAAAAAATTTAATAAAAACATTCGCTGGTCTGCAATTTATCGCAGACATTAATATTATGCCTGAATTTTGTTTGAAATGTCTTACAAACTGTTACACACACCTTCTTTTTAATTAGAATCTGTCTCTGTTACAGACTTTTAGTTAAAAAAAAAGAAAAGAGACGGTGCTATATTTGTGTAGTAGTTTCTAACTACTGCTTAGTGGCTTTTGTCAGCTACTCACCTTTTAAATTATTTTTTTTTTTCAGAAAATACATCTAAATAAGCATTCACATCTTGCTAACCAAGATAGCTGTGTCAGAAAAACACCCCAGTCATTTAATAAGGAACTTAAAACACAATTTCTAGGGTATAGGGTATGTGGATTCCTTTTTGTCTCTTGATGAGAATCATCTTTGAAAGTCTTCTCTTATAAAAACAATCACGAAGTGAATGGTTAACACACACCCCTCAAAACAGTTCAGGGGATTTACGATTCACCTTCTGCTGCACTGTGTGTACGATAAAGCTTCTTGGCAAGCCAGAATCTGATTCCGAATGCACAGCTGTATGGTATACACTGTGAGCAATCTGTATCTGGTCTATTTGAAAATGCAAATCATTGTTATGAAGAGACAACAGAAATCTGGCACACAACATGTACTTGATACATATATAAAATCAAACTAATAGATTGCATCAAAGCACATTTGTACTGTATATACAACTGTGACAGAGAAAAATGAAACTGACAACAGTATAATAAAGTGAATTGACAAGTAGAAAATTATCAGTGGTCCTCAACTTCACAGATGCAGAAGGTAACTGATTTTAGCTAGATGAACGAGACACTGATTGTGTTTTTTGTTTCCTAGTTTGATTTCCTAAATCAGATGATTCCCATTCCCGTTTTCTAACCAGTCTACCATATGAATCACTCGATACAGTCCTCGCAAGCCTCTATGCCTTGCTCTTTTTCTTTAGTTTCTTCGTAAGATACAGTACTTCCAGTGAACCGCTCAATTTGGAGATACGGAGACAGAACAAAATACTTTAAATTAAGATGATAAAGATCTTTACAGCTAGTGTTACTTTGGAGTATGAAAAGGAACCATTAATCCAAAATTACCTCTAAAAACGTAAGCAGGCTGACTTAAAAAAAAAGATTATTTTCTCAGGCATCCATACTAGTTCATAAGTACCAGTTACTGTACTTGCACGAAAGAGCAATAATCTAATCCCGTAAAGACCTCGAGATGACACGAGTAAAAACTCACCCTGTCTCTAATGGGTGATCCAGCGACTGTGCTAGTTGTTGGAATCCCACCAGTGTGTGCAGCTGAGGAGACCTCTTACTGAAAGCTGTCTTTTTGTCACTGTTGGAATGCAGCGAGCCCGCTCCCTTTCACCTGAGAGCGCAGCGCAGGAGGGTCTGAATCTGTGCATGTAATAATCCAGTCATTGTCATCGACCTCTAAAGCAGTGAAACCACGTAAACTAATATCCACGACTGCTGCAGTAGCTACTAAAAGTCATTGTCCTTTATGTGCGCTGAAAAGATAAAATCCTAAATTGTCTGGTAGATTCAGGTTTGTATAATTAAATGAAAGTACAAAAAAATCATGTAAAACCACAGAACTTCCAGTTAATATAGTTTTGATCAGTTTAGGGAACTATAAATGCAAGCCATTTAAGCTATTTAAAATATAGCTTAGTGAAGCAGGTATCCTTCAATGAAGACTAACTATCCTTCAGTGGTGGAAGGAGATATATCCGGTTAAACTGCGCTCTTGGACACTTCTCTGTGATTCCCTTTAAGCCACCTTGCCCTTTAAAAACGAAACTGCACCTGCAGCCAGAGTTAGGCAATCCACTGTGAGCTTCTTCTGTCAGCAAGGAAAAGCATGTAGCGAAACCTGTGCAAGAAACATCATTCACTGTCAAAGCCTGCACTGACGCCCGGCTTCGCCTGTCCGCGAATCACGCTCAGACACCGCTTCTCGGTGTCTTTCAGGAAAAGTGTCTCTTTCTTTTTAACAATCTACAGCCAATTGATTCTGCAAGCCACGCCTCGCTCGCTGTGGTTGGCTGCTTGTGCAGGAGAGACTGTTCTGAAGAAGCAAGGGAGGAAGGGGGAGGCAGCAGGAAATACAGAGAGTCTACGAAGCCCGGAGGGACAGGCTGGCTAATAAAAGCGAAAAGCTTCTCCTGTATTTCAGCCAGTCGTCTGCTGCAAATTTGTTGTGACTCTTGGCAAACTAAATTTGAACTGACAAAGTCCCCTTTTTTTTCTTTAGGGAGAGCGATCTCTCTCTTTTAACAGTAAATAAGAAAGTCTCTATTGTCAGCCAATAATCTCTGTTACAGAATAAAATAGCTGTCTTTCAGGTCAGAAGAGACAAAGCGCTACATGATCATTTAAATATTTTTCTAAATATAAGGTTTAGTGAAGATGACATTTTATCTGCTGTGTTATTATAAGGTATCAGAGCGATATATGATATAAAACGCATCACTGTCCCTCATACAATATACTGTACTGTACTGTAGGTACACAGAGGAAAAAAAAGGCAATGAAACTGCATTCAACTAAAAATAATTTAGTCATGAAAATCATTTGGAAGTCAGCTTTTAGAATAATCAGATTTTATGTTAACAAATATGGGATTTGAGAAAGAATTAATGTTAAATGCGTTTTAATACTGAGAAGCCGTGGGCAGTATTTGCAAATCATGGGGATATTTTTGACTTACTGTGTGTATAGAAGCATTTCATAGCTTCGACAACATTTTTGGGCAGCAGAAACATATTATGAACAAAAGGGAAAAAAATCTGTCTGACAGCAGCAGGGTGTTTATATATGCCAGACTGAATACATATCCTCTTTACGAACTATTTTTTATATAATGATTTAAGACTTAATCCCTGCTAAAAACTTATCTTTCTAGTTCAAAAGATTTTCTGGCTATATGTTTTGAAGCGCATGATATAAATAGGCATAATCACAACAGCATATTTCTGTTTAGGTTTTGAAAACCTTTCACACCTCATAACAGTTATTTCTCTCTGAAGCTGTATTGTAGCTCTTAGTGGTTCCAGCCTTTTCTCTATTCCTTATCTCATCTCCTTCACCTCAGGGCTTTTTAGTCCGCCTATTTGTCTATATTTCCCAGCAAAACACCACCTTTTCTTTCACTGTGATTTTTGTGAAGTTCAAGACTGCATCTATAACTCTTTCAGTTTTTTTTTAGCATGACATAAAGGTGGCCATTTCTTCAAAATACCCTCCCTGCTGCTACACCCACAAAGTATTAGAGTTCTCGTTTTTTCTTTTAACCCAACCCTTGGGGTCTTCACAGAAAGTGCTCCAAACTACATATCCATCTGTTTTTTTGAAGGGGAGCCGGAGCCTAACCCAGCAAGCAAGGGGCACAAGGCAGGATACACCCTGGATGGGACACCAGTTCATTGGATGGTGCAGACAGACACAAACATGCACACACTCACAGCAGGGCCAGTTGTCCAAGAAGCCAGTTAACCAACCAGTAAGTCTCTCGACTGTGTAAGAAAACCTGATCAGCTGGATGAAACCCACACAAACACAGGGAGAACATTCAAACTCCACATAGATAGCACTCCGGGTCCAGAACTAAACTGAGGGCCCCAGTGAGGCACTGTGAGGCAGCAGTGCAGTGCAGCTTCTCACTTAGATAAAGAGGGAAAAATGTATTTACAATCAGGCAGGATGTACTGTACTATATGGTGTAGGTCTAAAGTTTGGCCTCTGATGGATATACATTACAGTTGTATTTTCATAACAAATGCTAAAATCCGTAACTCATTTACAGTAATACCCCTAAATAAATACATTAATTTAGTATGTAATTCTGTAGAAACATACTGTAATACTAACCTGTCCTTTGAAATGTAAGTATTTTTTAGACCAGTGATTTCTTTTCATGGCACTGACTGGCACACACTGCATGTAGCTATTTTAGTCAACAACATTGCTAGAGCAATGTGAAATGATCTGAGAAATTTGGCTCCTTGATGTTTTTGTTAAGAAATAAAAATAGGACAAATCTTGTGTATAACAAATATCCATTGCAGGGCAAAAGTCTTACACATTTCACTTTTCTCCCTCCATATGGAAATGTTTTTTTTTCCTTCTTTACCCAAAAATTTAATTCTATTGAGAATGCCTACATAAGTTTTAGACATGTTAATAGTTAATTCTGATAGATCTGCATTTTGTAATTCAAAATGTAGCCTTTAAGCTTCATGGACATGTCGAAAAGAACAAATAATGTTAGTGAAAGGTGCTGTATAAGAATGAAATTGATTAATGAGGAACATTCCGTTTAACTCAATTAGAGTTAGTTGGTAAATGTAGTTGATTAGCTTGCTACTGGCTACTTAAACATACAGTAGTTTACCTCTACATTTTTGAAGATTCTAGTCAATGTACTGTATGAAAGACTGACTAATGGCAGTCTTAGCTTCTTCTCACTGAAATAAAGCAGTATCAACAACAGTTAAAGCTTTTATAATAGTAGAAAACACTGTTAGAGGTTTTGTGCAAATTGCTAATGCTGATAACATGCACATATCATAAATGGTGACTGCATCAGAGATTTCAAACATTTTTGCACAACAATGTAGTTGCTATGATGTCTTAAAATACTGTAAAATGTCCAAGAGTTTCATGCTATATTAGCCTTTTGCTATCTTCTCAACATTTTCAAAGTCATAATAATGACGCAAAGTCAAGCAAGGCAGATAAATATGTTAATTTGCACACTGACATATGAAAGGAATTCTGTCACAACATTTCTGGTCCTCATTTGGCTTTTCCCCAGCTTCCCCCAAATTAGAAACAGTAATGACAACCGATGATCCGCAGATGGTCAAACTCCAGGGTACAAAAGCCTTCTGATCTTTCTGCATCTTGTGGCAGCATTCCTTGCACCAACAATACATTACATTGCCAGATGCTATTTACTCAGGGGGAAGATCATGCCTACCAGAGCTCCAAGGTCAAGCATGCCAGGGCATTTATGGGTAAATTATGGGCCTATTCCATGCTTTCTCTGGCTTATGGGGTGGTTAAGGTGCTTAGGAAGATATCATCCATCCAAGATACACACAGAGAGAATGATACACAAAAATCAGGCAAATCCTGAGGATACTTTGGGGCATCTGGCTTATTTCCACATTTAAAATCTCGAGTCAACTCAGCCTGGCAATAAAGATTTGAAGTGACAGTGTGAGCTGAAAAGATAGCCTTGTCTCATGTTTCTTCAGCAACAAAGGGAGCTTGGAAATTGAAATCTTATGCATTCATCATTGCCAAGCAGTAAATCCACATATAAAGATTAAATATGGCATTTAATTTTCAGTAACACTTTAAAAAAATGATGAAACCAGAGAATTACAAATTTCTGAAAGAGAGGACTTTCAAATGCTGGAAACAAGCAGAGGTTAATTATAATGTAAAATAAACCTCTGCATTGTCCTTGCAGCCAGCATGCTGATGAAGTTCCGTTTTCTAGCTTGTTATGAACACCTGGGGGCTTCCAAGTGGCTCTGTAGGTAAAAGTCATAGCCCAGTTGTAGGCTGTGCTCAATGATCCAGACTTTGCAAGTATTAGCCTGGGATGTGTCAAAAGCCTACTATGGCTGTGCATGAGCCCTATTGAGAGTTGGGTGGGATTAAGAAACCAAGGATCTTTTGACACTTGGTAACACTGTGACCCCTTTGCAGGCTCCATGGTGCTGTACAGCAAGTGTGGGGCAAATTTCAGCTTCCATATAGGGAAGTGTTGCCTGTGATGCAATAGGAGATGAGTGGCTCAAAGGTGGACAGGTCACAGGAATCTGCCTGCACTTCCTCATTGTCCCCCATGTGCAGTTCCAAAACTCAGGTGTGTATATGCTAAAAATATCCATATCAAATAATGGGGACTCCCCTCCACCACCAATGCTCACTGCACATCAGCTATCAGCGGGGAGGAGAACAGAGTAATGACGCCAGTTCATTCATGGGGATTATCAGGAGGACATGATTGGTAAAGGCCAATGGAAATTTGGGCAAAATGCCAGAGTAACACCCCTACTCTTTTTGAGAAACACCATGGGATTTTTAATGACCACAGAGAGTCAGGACCTCGGTTTCACATCTCATCCGAAGAATGGCATTTTTTTAAGTATAGTGTCTACTAACACCTCTTCCAGCAGCAAGCCTAATTTTTCCCAGGAGGTCTCCCATCCAGGTACTGGCCAGGCTCACACCTGCTTAGCTTCAGTGGGTTGTCCGCTGTGAGATGCAGGGCGATTTGGCTGCCGGCAATTTATATATCAAAGTTAAGTGAACATCCCTGCATTTAATTTATACAGTAAAAATGGTAAAGTCCCATACCTGAGCCACAGTGGCTCATCAGGCCAGATCTCATCCTGGTTTCTTTTACAATAAGTGGACTAGAGAACCTGTGACTTCACCACCATTACAGGTATTACTGTTCATCCCAGGTATGCTGATCCACACTGACACAGCTGTAAGGAATGGAGGAACTGGGGTAAAGTACTGTACCTTGCTCAAGAGTAAAACAGTCGTGTCTGCAGCAGGGGCTTGAACCCTCAGTTGGTCAGGTACTTGTCCAAAGGCTTACTCCCTATGCTATCCTGGACTTAATGGATATAGTACCTGTGTGTATGTTAACGTACAGTAAATGTTCTTCATGAAACTCTGGTGTGTCTGCATTCATTGTTTCAAATACTGCCTATTTCAGCAAACCTAGCTCCTGAAGAGGAGCAGTTAGGACTGACGCACCCGCCGCATGTTTTACTTGTGTTCGCCTGGGTTTTTTCCAGGTGCTACAATTTCTTCCACTTTCCAATGCCATGCTGTCTGGTGTAATTACTGTAAACTGTCTACATCTGTGTTCCCTGCAAGGCACTTGTGTCCTGGGTGTCTTGTCCTCTGCTTTCCAGATAGGCTCCATTTTGCTGCAGCCCTTTCCAATTATGGAGAGATGGATATGTTCTGAAAAGACTTTAAAGAAATATGAAAGGAAATGAAAATGACAAAGGTAAATCAACTATATCAGAACTGAAGTAGTTTTAATGATATATTGCATCATTAATGGACTACAGATCTTTATGCACCACTCATTTACTTTATTCCTGACTATACTACATAATTATGCAGAATACATATACAGTACCTGTAATAATCTGCAATAAGTAGGAAATTCAATAACTCTTATGTTCTTAATTTATGAAAAGTTACATTTCTTCATTACCTCTGTGACACAAATAGTTTCCCTTTCAAGTCGTATTCTCCCTCAGCGTATTCACTCTGAACACCGAGCATATAAAAGAGTGTCTTTTATGTTCACCCACAGAAGTGAGTCAGCACAGACAATATCCCTGCAATCTGGTGGTGGCACATTCGACCTGCCCTATTAGCATGATCTTTTGCCTCCAAGGTCCTTTTTAAAACCACCTTCAAACTTTCATTTCGTTGGTACTATGGTATTTGTGCAAAGGGGCAGCTGTCCAGCTTTTCCAAAGCTAATTTTTCATTGCCAAGAGCCAGACCGACACCATTCTGTACCATCTGCTTGCAGTTGTAGAAACAGTTACTCACATGGTTTATGGAAAGTGTTTTTGTCACACATTGCTATATGCTGTTTATTCTAAAAATAATCTTCAAGCTTTATACTTCATGACATGTTAATTACCTCCGTCCACATTTAATACATTATGTTACTGAATCAATTGCTTTACAGTATCATCCTTAGAGATAGTAGTCTTGTTTTATATAGCAGACCTAATTTAACAGTATGCCATCTTTCCTTTGTAATATTTAAACAGCCTCTGCAATCCTAGAACTCACAAGTGACTGATTTTATTTCAGTGGTGAAAAGTCCCACCATTTCAAACCAGTTACGTCAAAGAATAACTTGAAAATAGTGCAGCACCATGTTGTCTCACCCTGACATGTACTGTAAATGAAAAGCTCATTAGGTACTGGTATTAAACATTTATGCATATAAAGCATTCACATGTTACAGGCAAAGGCTTATTAAAATGCTGAAAATCACCATCTTTGGAAGACCATCTTATTTTCAATTCTGTGCATTTCATCTATATTTTCCTTCTTTTCCTAACAGTTCAGGACCTTTATGGTTTCAATCTGCTGCTGCAGCATACTAAAGTAGACAGCTTTGACTGTTTTCCTTGTTAATTGGCATAAAACTCACACTTTGTTGGCATTAAAGCAGAAGATATAGCCCTCCCCTTTCTTTATTTTACCTGGTAGACTAGAGAGGCCTTTCATTTTTAGCCTTTGCTGCTGCTTCACAAAATTTGCTGAGAGTTAAGAAATTACTGCAAATGATGTTTTAAACAGTCTTAAAGGAGCGTCAAAGGAGACAACAATTATTCAATGCAGTAATTTAACCATTTTGTCACACATGCAGTAAACATGATGTATGCCAGTTATCTTCTTCGCTTCTTTAAAAAATTATTATTTTTTTAATGCAAAGAATAAATTGTTTCTGATATTACATTACATTTCAATCACATGCTATAGCTTAATTTGTTTTAGCTCCTTTATATGATTTTAAAGTTTTTAGTCAAAGCTAATGCTTGATGCTTCATTAACAGTCATGTTAGCTTGTAGAGTTCAGCTCTGACCCTAAGGTTACTAACGTTTCTGGTCAAGAAGTAACCAGAAAGCTGTTAACAGTAATAACTTGACACTCTTCATTGAGTCATTCCAAAACAGAAGAGCATTCCTGGGAAGATCCAGACAGTGATGCTATGACTTTCATTCTTAGAGACCCATGTTCAATTACAGCGTGGGTCACAAGTGAAATGAATTCCGTGGCCTCTAATAACAAAACCACTATACAGTTTAGTAAAGCGCCCTTTTTCCTGCTTGGAGGAGACTCAAGACTACACAGAGAAAGCATTCTTTGCCTCAGACTTTGAATTCATTGGTCCAACACCTGCCTTTTTAGTGTGCCAGGCTGTAACTAAATGTATTTAATCTTTTAGGAGGAACAGATTACAGAGCCCATGCCGTTTGATCCAATAAAGTTTTGTATTTGTTTGTTTGATGATCGGTTGAATAGACAATTCTAATAATATTTCTTAATCCAACATACCAGATCTCCTGTGAACTCTATTCATTTGCATGTACACATGTTCAAAGTTCCTCTTAATTAGCTTAACCAATTAGCACCATTTGGAGCTTGCAGAGTAGCATACAAATTCAAATCCCTATTTTGTGCATGGCATAAGAGAACTGATATTGGCTTTTTCTTCTCTTGATCTCTATTTACCTCTATTAATAATATATGGGACACCCTTTGCTAATGTAAATTGTTTATCCTGTTATAGACATTGTTAATTAGTTGAAAACACTCCAAGATAGAATAAGAGTCATAGTAATCTATACACATTTGCCTTAAATATATTAATGTATCACATTATAAGCACTTAAATTCAAATTAATGTATACAGGAAACTAGAAAATTATATTATTTCCCTTTAATGAGGTTGTCTAATGACTTCTTACTGCTTCTTTAGTCTCACATGCCAACGATAGTTAACTTAGCACAGCAGATACACAACATAAGACAATACTGTACATGGGATATAGAGATAGAGTACTTTACTCTGTTAGTCACCTTATTTATAACTAGCAAACCTGAGTCAACCTAGAAACCTAACTAAACATGATATTTGACCAATTACAGCCAGTTGAACATTCATGGTGGTAGTAAAACTTCTTAGCCACTTGCACTCTATAAAAACTTTATTTGATATTCACAATTTACCTTTTTAATAAGGGAGGAAGAACTGAATTTTTTGAGAAAATTAAACTACAGACACACAGCAACCAGAAATTAAAGTTAAAATCTAATATAATGTTAACTTACCATTTTAAAACAAAATTGTATCTCAGAACTCCTTTAAAGGAAGGCCACATATACTGTACAGTAGCTTAGCATACTCTCATTTAATATTGCATAAGAGTATGTATATGCAGTAAGGTTTTTTATATTTTCAGACAGTCCTTAGTAAATGTTTTCTATGTGTTAGAAATATAAAGAAACCATAGTGACCTAGCACATAGTGAGCCTATCTGAAATAATAATAAGAGTTAATAATAATAATAATAAAATCTGGAAGAATTTCACTGAGTGGCATGAAATTCAGTGGAGGGGTTAAAACAACTAAAATAAAGTATACAGTGGCATGTATAGTATACATTTCTAAGTAAATCAAAAGTTTGGCCCATTTTACAAAATAGCTTAATCTTTGAATTTTAGTATTTCAAAATGGCAATATTTATGATAAAATAGCAGCAGGTTTCTTATACAAACACAGCGGCATGTTTTTGATTAACCAAACACCCTGTAAGGGTATTTTATTTAAAAAACACATAAACCTAAATAAAATTGGGGTTGTGTCATTTTTAGGACTCTTTCATAATTGTAATTTGCAACTTGAATACAAAGTATTTTGACAATCAGAATATATTTTGTATTTGTTTTTAACTATTTGAAAAATAAACCTGAATTATAAATATTTTAGCTTTTTCTAGATAAACAAAACTACTTCTTGGTTGCTTGGGTGACAAGAAAATAGCGTGGTTTTTGAAGACCTACAGAATACACACAAGTACAGTTTAAAACGTAGATATACAGTACATGAAGCCAACACATTTATAGACACCACAGATTTATTGCACATTACAACACTGTATGTTTTTTTTTGCACAATATTTGCTGGGGACTTGTATTCTAAGCGTAAGCTCGAGTTTGTACAGGATGAAATGAATGCACCGCACATGTAACTTTCTACAGGCGACCCTACTGCACAACCGGGAGAGAAAACGACATCATCTTTGAGCGATCTTACACGGTTTCGGGGGCTTTTCTAGCGAAGGGGAAAGGTTTATTTCGCACAAACAGTTCGCCGGAGATCTGCGCTTCACCACAGCATTCGCCCTCCTCCCCCCTCGCTCGCTTTCTTGCTACCCCGTCTCTCTGTAGCTGCTTCGTCAGGGAAAGAGATCCGAATCATCGTAATGCCAGGAATGATGGAACCTCGGCTGTGCCTCACCTTCCTTTGGATTTTTTTTCTGATCTTCGCAGGTATCCCATTTGTGGGAGCCGAGGAGGACCAGTCTCAGAATGACCTAGAATGTAAAATGAAGAGCGTTACCGTCTCTGCCCTGCCGTTTTTGAGAGAGAACGACCTGAGTATCATGCACAGCCCTTCCGCCTCCGAACCCAAGCTGCTCTTCTCTGTCAGGAATGATTTTCCTGGGGAAATCGTGGTGGTGGACGACCTGGAAAACACAGAGCTGCCTTTTTTTGTGCTGGGTGAGTTTATTTTAAAGGTGCTCGACATCCCTCCCCTCTCCCGAACTGAGAAACAGTTACACATTTTCGTTATTATTTGCTGTTACAACATGCATTTGTAATCACTGAACTCTGCTATTGATTTTATCCGAGTCTATTTACACGTAACCTAAATAGCAAAATATCTGAGTGGCACACGCTACTGTATTCTTACAGCGTTTACTTCTGTTGCTGCAGTATGTAGGCCTGTTGTGTGATTGATGCTTGCATTTAATGTTGATTGTATTAAATGAGCTTTCCTTGAAGAATCACATAATTAATGTTATTAGCATCACGGCGAGATGAAAAGAAAGCATTGCAATGTGTGTTTCTTTGATTTCACGGAACACTTCGCTAGGATTTTCTCATTTAAATCCGACCTCTTCCAGTGTGAATTTGTTTCAGCCTAATAAGTAAATAACGTTCTTCCGGGCACTGCATTTCTAAGTGCTCAAGGCCTCATACTGTAGCTATGACCAATTGGGTTTAGTTGTCTTGCAGGCCAGACGGATTTGGTACCATTTTCATGAAATTAAGTTCAATTATTTTAAAACTATAGTAATTGTGGGCCTTCTCCACTGCTGTCCCTCTATTAATGCTGTTCTTGAAGTCTAAGTAGAAACTCAGAAACCGTTTATTTAACCCAGTGATGAACTCTGGTTCTTACTCGTGGATTCAAGTTTTAGGTACAGTGCATAAAAAGATGGGGTTGCATATTTTCATATTGCAAGGTGCATGTTTTGATTCACAAAAACTTTACTTTTAGACACAGGTACACACGTGTAGTGTATGACGTAGAAAAGTACAAGATGTACTGTAAATGCCCTACAAACAGCTGAATTGAATGCTTTTATCACATATGTTGATTTTGTTCTGTAGTACCTGCGTTGAAGATACAGATTTTAATTTTTGAGGCAAGTTAGTTTGGAAAACACTGCACTGAACTTGCTTTGAGTTCATTGAAGATGTTACTTATTGACTTACTTATGTTACTAATGTTATGTTACTTATACTTATTGTTACTTATTGAACAAAAAATACTTTTCATAGCAGTATTGAGAGATGAAAATAACTGAAATTAAAAAAAAAGTTGAAATGGATGTTTAGTTTAGGATAGTGTTTAATTTGGCCTGTTATTGTCTATCAACTCAGTTAGACTAAGCGTTTACAATTTTTACTGTTCCTTACAAATTCTTTGCAAAAGTGTCTTTTTTGTTTTTATTTCATTCATAAGAAACCTGTCTTTTATCCTGTAGTCAAAGGAGGTGGCAGGGTAGCATGACAACTCCTGCCTCTATGTTTTTTAAATCATGTGTTTAGCATCAGTTTCATGAAAAATCTATTGCACAAGAGAGAGTGAGTTTTATGCAGTAGTTTTGAAGTTGTAGTTGACATGACTTTCATGGCTGTGAATGTAAAATACCATTCATGTTTAAACATGGCAAATCTTTGATGTTTATTTTTATTTAGACATTTTAACCAAATAAAACATTATATTGATCATGGTCTATGGTGTTGATAAATATGCATTAAGTTATTAAGACTAACATAGTTTTTGATTTCCAATTGCTAAACACTTGTGTGTGTGTGTTACACTCAAAAGGTGTGAGATGTGTTTTTCACTCATGTTTGATTTTCATCCTCGTTCATCCTGTTGTGTACTTTTTATGTTAGTCTGTATTGTATATCTTATATTAGATATACACAAATACAAATAATCCTCACAACAGTATATTTGGATAATACTATATAATATTAAACCTACAACCCCGCTGTTACAGTTATATGATGTACTTCCAAATTAATGTTCAGATCAGTTTTATTTCTTCCAAAATGGGATTAATTGCCACTTTGATTCGTATATAAAAACAATTTAAACTAATCTTACAGTCTTGAAAGTTGTCAAATCAAATACAACACTTTATGCTTGACCAAACTTTTTTTTAAAACAAAATTAAATCAAAAAGGGAAAAGTAATAGACACCTTTAAAAACAAATCACTGTTAATTATTTACAGAGTACAAAGTGTTGTGAAACAGTTGTGAAATATGGCCATTGGCCAGTGGTGACAAAGTGTCTGAGCATGGCAGAAGACTAATGCTGTGCTTATTATGGCTGCTGTCCATGGTGCTGATTGTACTGTAGGCAAGATGTTACAGAATATAAACCATAGAAAATACTGTTTTTCCATATGTACAATATATAAAAAGAAGGAAATCAGGATTATTGGCTTAATCTCTGTGGACATTCTATGCAGATAGCTGATGCTGCACAGTGCAAGAATTCCAGTTTCTTACTGTCATTAGAATAGCAGCGTATCTTTTGTCTTGGGTTTTTCACATGGTAATACCATTATGCCAATTCAGATGTTTAAATTAGTTAAGCTTCACGACAGTGCCTATGTGTACTGTAAATACTGGGGAACAGGAGATAATTTATAGTTGCCCTTATATGTCAGGCTGATTGTATTTCATATTTTCTGAGAGTTCTGACCTCCACTCTTTTATATTATTTGTGCTTCGAATCTAGGTTAGTCGGTTAACATTTGTGAAGGTACAGTATCATATATTTATTAGATCACTAAAAAATCATAGAGTCCAGAAGTGATGAATCAGCACCCTAGCACAGTAGGAGAGCAAAGTGCTTCAATAACTGAAGGTTTTGGACTTTATCTGCAAAGATTTTATTAAGTTGATTTGAAAAATAATAGTGGGCATACTGTACTGTGTAAAATTACATTCCAAATTTGATCAAATAATAAAAAGCATTCATAAAGCCATATTATGGCTAGTTTTTGCAGTTTATTCAGAACTCAAAATTTTAACTCAGTTGGTATGCTGTGATCATTTTTGTGCCCTTATTGTTTATAAAGTTTATTACTTTTTAATGCTACACAAACAGTCTGGAGTTTAAAGCATAGCTTATTATTGTTTGAGTCTTGTATAAATAAAAAAGTGTTCTAATAAATGAATAAACACTAACACATTATTCTTCACAAAATGCTTTCAGCAAAATAATAAAAGAGAAAATGAAAAATATAGGACAATTCTTAGGGGAATAGATTTGACTTACGTCTTACATTTGACTACTTTGGGACAAGCCAGTTGATTCTGATTTATTCTATGTTTACTTGCTCTCAGATACTCCTATTCTCTTCATCAATAATATGTCACACAATTGCAGATTGCAATTGCTGACTTGTTGACTTAGCTTTGAAACGCCTAAATGCAGAATGTGATTATTTGAGTTTGAAGGCTATTAGACTTTTTCCTCACTTAACCCATTGATAATCCTGTTTACTATGAAAGACTGACTTAATGTAATGTATTTTCTGCCACAGTTCAACTGAGATTGGTATGACTGGTTATACCTTCACTTCTCTCTTGGTTTTGTATTTTTCTGTCATTGTAAATATACAACAGTGATTTTGTTATTTTTCTTGCTTTTAAATAGACTAGTCAGAAAAGTCAGTGACTTATGCATTTTATAGTCCCGCTAAATTGCAGATTCTGTAGGACCATGCCATTAAATTGTATTGCATTCAACGTATGCCGTATATTATGTACAAAAAGATAACTCTAGGCTCTTTTCTTTATATGGTTTTGTTTTCTGGCTTCTTTAAGAATGAATGACATGAAACTCTGAATGACATGGATATAGATCAGCCAGGGTCACACAATACATCAGAAAGAGTATAGTTTTTTGTGTCCCCAGTTTAGAAATATCCCTGTTATAAAATTCATACTCAAACTCAGAATAATACATATCATGCTACCCAAGCTGAGAGGAGGTAGCAGGGCATAGCAGTACCCAGACTTACTGATGAATATGCTTCCGTTGTGATTGTGTTCTGAGCTAGACAGGACCCTGAGCTTCTTATTACTGAACATCATACTTCCATCCAGACATTCTAAATGTGGATGGCAGTCCATCCTATAAACCAGTTATAGGTTTGAGGAGATGATCCATATGTGAAAATCTATTTTGCAATTGTGTAAGCGTTTTGGTTTCCGGCATGCTGTAATAACCCATTGGTTAGGATTTATTCAAATGAAAAAGGCAAATAAATTTGTTCTGACTTGAGAATGCTTGTTTAAACCTTTAATCCCCCTGTTGCATAGCTCATATTGTATATACTGTATGGGATATCTCAAGTACCAGAATATGCTTGGCTGAATTCTTATAGTTGCTTGCTTTATATACAACGATAAGAAGAAAGACTTCCTAAAATAGTACATTCTCACGGCTACATCCTTATGTGTTGGATACACATTGTTTCATGCTGTCACACCTCTTTAACTTTATTCTATTAACAGTTTGTTTTTTTCTGATTTATTCAGTGTTAATAAACTAGGTAACAGTGCTTGAGTCAGATTGTTCTTATTCTAGATATAATTCGTTGCTTATATATATATGAAGTTCAGTTACAGTATGTTTAATCTAAAAGTGAAGTTATTATTGTCCCACAAGACAGATTTTACTTTCATCAGTGCAAAACAAGCTAGTATTAAAAAAGGTGTCATCAATATCTTAGGTAGGTTTACCAATATATTTTAAAAAGTGCATGTTACGTCCCAGTGTGTGTTCTATGTGTGTTTTTTTCTATGTTCCACACTGCTGACCCTTGATTGTTCTCCCTTCCCCATTGGCCAACCATCACACCACTGTTTCAATATGATGTCATCATCAATCAACCCTCAGCCAATCAGAACTCATTTTATTCACTATATAACATGGAGGCTTTCAGGAAGAAAAGGCCTTTCGTTTGACTTCGGTCCCGTTTGGTTTTGGTTATCGCTTCGCTTCGCTTCGCTTCGCTTCTGGTTATTGCTTCGGCTTTGTTTGTTGGTTTGTTTTGCATTGTGTGTGTGTGTGTGTGTGTGTGTGTGTGTGTGTGTGTATTTTCGTATAGCTTCGGCTTTGTTGTGTTGTTGGTTTTCTGTTAGTTTCTTTGCACTTTCGTTTGTTTGTGTGTTCATCCT